GGTGGATCTTAATCGAGAACAGGGGATTGATTGAAGTGACATTCTCAATTTGTATATTTTGTGAAACAAAAGAATTTAAAAATATCCCCACCTTAATCAAACAAGACTCTAACGGGGTATAAAATGGATGCTTTTGCTTACAACAAACGAGGCAATGCTCTTATTTATTTATTTATTTATTTTTATTACCATTTTTATTGCCACAGAGAGTTGAATTGCATGAGAGGTTCCTTTAAAAGTCCACAGATATGCTCACTTCATACAGTTGCCTCTCTCTTTAAGAACAGTTTTCATCCACTGCCCAGCAGCTCCTGGGCAGAGTCAGCTGTCTCGCTGGCGGTTGACCTGACCCTCGGCCCGTCTCAGGGACACTTCTTCAGCAGGTGCATGGCGATGTTTTTCACGGCCAGCATGGTCTCTGTACAGGTGGGCTTGATGAGCACCTCCGGGAGTAAAAACCCAAAATGCCCAGTGTCACGCAGTTCAAAAGCAAACGTGTAGGGTATTCCATTTTTGTAGGCCCAATCCATTGAGCTACCAGAACTCACATCTGAAAGTTAAAAGAAAAAAAAACAAAAAACAGCCTCACAAAAGAGTCTGTATAATTTTCAAAAATGTATATATTACTAAGCTATCCTAAATTCTTCCAATAAATACTGTTTCACCAAGAATGATTTAACAGAAGTTCCTTGGCCTTCTGTTCAGAAGGGCTCAGAGACCTTATAAATCAGACCTGCCATTTTTGAGAACCTAGTGTAGGTTTAATGCTTTTCCAGTGTATTGACCTCCAAATTCCTCAGCCTCAACTCCAATAACATTTATTTCCACTCGAACTTTATTCACCCACGACCAAAGCCACATGATGGATTTTTCTGCTTCTTATCGCTCAGTTCTTCTTCACTTCCAAGGTCTAGCGTATTGCAATTCTGTTCCCAGAAAATCTCATTTCCTGTACTTCCCCTATTTTTTTCCTCCTAATGAACTTGTTCTTTGCCTTTGCTTAAGTTTGTCGTTCCCAGACTCTTCCCAGCCTTATAATTTCATTTGTCTCTATACCTGGCCATGGTCAATTACTTCACTGAATTTCTCACCAGAACTCTAAAAATGACTCATCTAGTCTTTTTTTCTGCCTTGGTTTTGCTGATTCTCGATCCCTGACCCAGGGTCTCTGCTTTGATGCCTTATGAGGGAGCTGGAGAAAGTCTTTGCCATAAATTCACACTAATCACTGAAGTCTTTCTCTGTTCCTGATGCTGCTCTAGGCTCCTTTTCTACACCTTTACTTCCTGTTTTTCATTCCCTCTAGTCCTGCCCATCACTTTCTTATTGTCCCCATACTCAATGAGTAGTGAGCCAGCCACCTCCTCTGCTGACCTCATAGCCCCCTGACTTCCCTCCTTTAGCTCAGAAGAAGAAATGTTGCTCATTTTTTACACGTGTCATCTTTTGATACCATTCATTACTGTCTTCTCTGCTAGTGAGTGGGTTCCTTCTCCAGGCCTTTGTCTCATTAATTAAATCCCCCTCTATCTTGCAGCTGTATTGGCCAAAGTGTTCAAGCACCGCTTTCCTACAGTACTTCCTGGTCATGATCCTGCTATATGCCATCCTCTTTTTTTTCCTTCCTGTTACTTTAAAAGTAAGAGAATTGCTATATGTTTCTTCTACATTCTCAGTCACTTTCACTTTGGCTCTTGCCTCTATCTGTCTATGAAAACTTTTTTCTTGAAGGTCACCAAGCACAGCAGGCCTGATCTCTCTCCCTCCCCTGCCCCCCCACCCCGATCCCCCACTCAGATTCCACTTTCAACCTCTCCATAGCATTTACCCTAGCTGACAGTCCTTCCTGACAGCTCTCTCCTTCTGGCTCCTGTGACCCCATATATTCCAGCTTTTCAGCAGAGTCAAGAGTGCAGACAACAGAGGCAGACTGTATCCAATCCTCCCTCCGGTGGCTGCTCTGTGCCTCAGTCTCTGCTTTTGACAAAGGGATAACACCCACTGCACAGGGTTGTTGTGAAAATGAAATAAAATAATGTGCTTAGCCTATACTAGCTGTTACTCTCTTTACATCCCAAAGTGCGTAGCATGTAGTTCTTAAAAATAATGTGCTTAGCCTATACTAGCTGTTACTGTTTTTCATCTTTACATGCCAAAGTGCTTAGCATGTAGTTCTTAGCCAAACATACTCTTTTTTTTTTTTTTTTTTTTTTAAAATATATTTTATTGAATTTTTACAGAGAGGAAGGGAGAGAGATAGAGAGTTAGAAACATCGATGAGAGAGAGACATCGATCAGCTGCCTCCTGCACATCTCCTACCGGGGATGTGCCCACAACCATGGTACATGCCCTTGACCGGAATCGAACCTGGGACCTTTCAGACCGCAGGCCGACGCTCTATCCACTGAGCCAAACCGGTTTCGGCGCCAAACATACTCTTAATAATTTTTAAATAAATGAATACATGTTCCATAGAATAATCTTTATATACTTTTCTCCTGAAATGTATATAATGTAGCCTGACATACACCATTATGTTAAAATGTTCATCTATTCAAATAATACCACTTTTTATGCTATTTTTGCCAGCACAAATTAGACATAGAATTAGTGTGGGAAGATGACAATTAGATGACTCTGTTGTTTCTCAGGCTCCTCTGGCTTCAGTTAGGACAGGCTGTATCTTCATTGTCCCTCTGGGTGAGAGTACACTGGAACTACAAATAGTCGTCATAGTAGCCAAAGCCAGAGACAATCTGTGCCAACAGTTAGCTCATGGTCATGTGACAGCCTCATTTCTATGGTAACAGGTTCTTCTCGGTAAATATCATACTATGACTGTGCCGTGATACCAAGCTGCAAAGGTGAAGTGTGAGATTTTTAAAATGAATGTTTTGAAATTGTTAATATATATTGGTATTAGTTGGTAGTGTGATTTTCCCCATTACTTAAAATTTTTAATTTTTCAACTATAGTTGATATTCAATATTATGTTAATTTCAGATTTACAGCATAGTGATTAGACATTTATATACCTTATGAGGAGATCCTGCCCAATTGGTCTAGCAGCTCCTTGGAACCATTACAATATTATTGACTATATTCCCTGTGCTGTACTTCCCATCCCTGTGGCTATTTTGTAACTGGCAACTTGTACTTATTTTTTAAAAAAATATTCTTTATTGTTGAAAGTATTACATAGTCCCCTTTCCCCCCGATTGTCGTCATCCAGTCTGCTACTGCTCCCTAGTCTCGGCCTCCCCTCCACCCCCCGCAATTGTCTGTGTAATTTGTACGTCTTAAACCCTTCCCCCTTTACAGCCAGTCCCCTAATCCCCCTCCCATCTGTTAATCATCTGCTCTCTGTATCTATGAGTTTGTTTCTATTTTGTCTTTTAGATTCCACATATATTTGAAATCATATGTATTTGTCTTTGACTTATTTCATTTAGTATAATAATTCTAGGTTAGTTCATGTTGTCACAAATGGCAAGATTGCATTCTTTTTTTTATGGCCAATGTATATATGTCCCAACTCTTCTTTATCTGACTGTCTATCCATGGACACAGGTTGTTTCCATATCTTTGCTATTGTAAATAATGCTGCAATAAACATAGGGATGCATGTATTTTTTCAAATTAGTGTTTTAATTTTCTTTGGACAAATACCATGAAGTGGAATAGCTGGGCCATATGGTAGTTCCAATTTACAAATTTTTAAAAAAATATATTTTATTGATTTTTTACAGAGAAGCAGGGAGAGGGATAGAGGGTTAGAAACATCAATCAGCTGCCTCCTGCACTCCCTACTGGGGATGTGCCCGCAACGAAGGTACATGCCCTTGACCGGAGTTGAACCTGGGACCCTTCAGTCCACAGGCTGACGCTCTATCCACTGAGCCAAACCGGTTAGGGTCCAATTTACAATTTTTAAGGAACCTCCATACTGTTTTCCATAGTGGCTGCACCATCAGTGCAGGAGGGTCCCCTCTTCTCTGCTCCTTGCCAACACTTGTTTGTGAATTGACTGAGGATAGGCATTCTGACATGTGTGAGGTGATATCTCATTTTGGTTTTAATTTGCACTTCTCTGATAATTAGTGATGTTGCAAATCTTTTCATATGTCTAGTTGCCACCTGCACGTCCTCTTTGGTTAAATGTCTGTTCAGATCATCTGCAATTGCTAGTTGTCTATGTTGGGCTTAAAGGTGCCTGGGAAAGGCTATGCTGTCGCCGAAGCCGGCCGCCACTAGTGCTGGCCTTGGGCTGCTTAGCAGGAGGTACTGTTCGCGCATACTGAGGCCAGACACTGCTTGCTCTGGGTTTGTAGACCTTAGAGTTTAGTGCAGTCTGCAGTACGGGCCAAGGCTGGCTGCTCATGTGGAACAGCAGCTGGACGTGGTTCCAGCTGGTGTGTGACTTGGGTGGGCGGGGTCTTAGGGAATCACCAGAGTGAGGCAAGTATTAACCAGGTGGCTAGGGACTCAGATTTGTCACCTGCTTGTGCATACCGGCTGAGCTGGGGGAGGGCTCAACAAAGGAACAATGGTGCCTGGCAGTACTTCTGTCCTCGGACAGAGCTGCCTCTCTGGCCCCACCCTGAAGCCAGGCAATTCATTTCCTCCCCATAAGCCCCTGGTGCTTTTCCAGCTGCTGTGCCTTCCCGTGATTTAGGGTGAGTGTTTGTGAGTCTGTGCTCAGGCCGTTTAAGAGGACGCCTGGATCTAGAGCAGCCCTCCCTCTCACCTGGACAGATCCCTGCTGGTTTTCACAGCCACACGTGGTAGGGACTCCTCTACTTGGCCCTGGTGCTCTGGGCTGGGGACCCCACTGAGGGGCTGGTAGCTTTCCCTCCTCAGGGGGCCCCTCTGCAGCCAAGATATCCTTTCTGATTTGTAACCTCCACAAAATGGGTGTGGGACCAGGCCATTTTGTGTCCCTGCCCCTCTTACCAGTCTACAAGAGACTTCTTTTGAAAATTCATATATAAATTGATTTCAGAGAGGAAGAGAGAGGGAGAGGGAGATAGACACATCAATGATGCGAGAGATAATTGATCAGCTGCCTACTGCATGCCTCCATGTGCCCTGACCAGAATCAAACCATGATCTCCTTGTTCACAGGTGGATGCTCAACCACTGAGCCACACCATCCCGACAAGGCTTCTTCTTTATATCCTTAGTTATAGACTTCCGTTCAGTTAGTCTTCAGGTGGTTCTCAAGGGTGGCTGTTCTACAATTCAGTTGTAATTTGATGTGGTCATGAGAGGAGGTGAGCACTTCGTTTACTTACCCCACCATCTTGACTGGAAGCTCATAATGTGATTTTTAAAAATACCGTATTCCCCCTTTCAGGGCGACTTTATTGAAAAGTAGTTCCAAAAAGGTCAGCCTGAGACTAATGATCATGGAGTGTGAAAAAAGTTCTGATACTTAGGACATTCTCATTATTAGCATAAGTAGTGTTAATTGACACACCAAGCTTCTGAAGGCTGAAAAAAGTGAATGGTTATGAATATAATGATGATTAAAGACATCAGGAGAAATTTTCTACTTTATTATAATGCATAATCAGGTGTCACTATTTATATATATACACATGATCTGTGTGTGTCTACACCAGCTGTGGGCAAACTACGGCCCGCGGGCCAGATCCGGCCCGTTTGAAATGAATAAAACTAAAAAAAAAAAGAGACCGTACCCTTTTATGTAATGATGTTTACTTTGCATTTATATTAGTTCACACAAACTCTCCATTCATGCTTTTGTTCCGGCCCTCCGGTCCAGTTTAAGAACCCATTGTGGCCCTCGAGTCAAAAAGTTTGCCCACCCCTGGTCTACACCTTAACATGTATACATGGACATTCAAATATTTAGGATTTCTCACTAGATTTTTCAAGTCATATAGTCAATGAATTTCAGAGTTTGAAAGGCCACGAGATATGATTTGTCTGATTTCTCATTGAACAGTTGTGGGTACTGAAGCCCAGGATTAATGTCTTGGCCAGGACTGTATCCTGACTTGTGGCAGAATTAGGACTAGAATCCATGTGTCCCAATTCTTCATCTGAGTTCTTTCTCAATTGTTCTTTATTTTATGTAAAATAAGATATATTTCAATCACCTTTTAAGGGAAAATTCAGCTGAAGATGCTATGTAAGAAATAGAATTTCATAACAAGAATGGTAGAGGAAAGGAATAAAAAGGAAGCTCTGTTCATGCTGAAACATTACTTCAGGATTTCCCCAAGGCCCATTTCCAGGCTTATGGCGGTTACAATTGCTTAAGGAGCCCATTTTGGTACTTTCTGCTGCCATAAGATCTCAATTCAACTTGGCAGTCATTACTACATGACTAGAATATTCTCTGCTTCAAATTTATTTAAATTGGTACAGTGATTTCTGTTGAGCAGTGTAAAACTAATCCAATATAAACTCCCTTCATCTTCCTTGGCTAATTTGGTAGTCAAACATTTCATGTTAGGGGGCACACACTTTCTCTTTTTTAAAAGGGAAGTCATTATACAGGATATTGGCTCAATAAATGACTCTGACACAACACACACAAGAAACTTACACAAGGTGCTGGAGGCAGGTCCATATCTATATCGTATCCCATATGCTGATTGAAGTGCATTCACAGCTTTGTAAGCTGCAGATTCCTGTGAGGAAAAAATGGAGAAATTTATGTCACTTACATCATTGCATTGAAACCTTTGGAAACACTGCATGTTGTTTGAGCCTTATCAGTCGTCACTTTGAAGAACAAGGATGGACACATCAGTTAATAGCCATATTTAATAATAATGTTATGTTACTCATTGTCACATGCTGAATTTTGCAATATGTTTTAGAACACATTTCCTTTGATTTATCCTCACTGAGAGCCAGTGATCAGGAACATTTCCATTTTACAAGTGAGAAAAGGAAGTCCCAGTGAGGTGAAATGGGCATGCTGGGCTTACACGGCAAGGAGGGATTGAGTTGGGATAAGTGGATAAGTGCTCATATCTTCTAATGCTGACTTAGGCGTCTGTCTTCTTCACGTTAGTTCCGAGACACCTATTTCTATAAATTACAACATGTTTGGTAGGGCAGGCTCGTCTCAATATTTAGACATGTGCCTGTACATAAGAGATGTTTAATCAATACGTCTTGCATGAATGTTGAATAAGCATAGATCAGCAAGAGTATCAACATAATCTTATTGATCCTTAAGTACATACTGCAGTGGTGATGTACAAGATATTTAGAACACATATGGATCAATTAGGAAGCTCTTTGATTCAGCCAGAATGACTTATCTTATGTTATGTGTTTATTCCTACTGGGAACGGGGACAGTTTCAGAATGCTCCACGACTTCTAAAGTTACATACACCTCTGACGGAGCCAGCCAGTAGTTCCAAGATGTAGAAATTTTGAGGTGAAACTCTTCCTACCAATGTCAAAAACCAGAGAAAATATTCAGCACAATCAAAATACTCAAGGGTGAATATTCTAACATGAACTAGAATGATACCGACTACTCTTGAACACATTTCAAATGGTCCAAAGTACACGTTTCAGCAAGGAGTTAGGCCAGTATTGTATGACCAGTGAGAGGTAAAGAAGTATGTTGAAACCAGTATACAGCTCTCCCGTTTCAGTTTGTCCATGAATAATTGAAGATGCCAGTTGAAGCACTCTGGGCCACGTGGGCTGAGTGTTGGACCCAGCTTCAGCTTGCTGCCCTCATTCACCTCAGGGAGGCATTAAGCAGCATTTGTAGCAAATGCCACCCTTTGTGGATATTCAGGGACCAGCCTCCAGAACCTGGCAGACAATCGGTTATTGATCTCACTGATGCTGACATTCTCCTTTTCAGAAGCCAGCAGAAAAAGAATGTAAAACACCATAATGAGGTATCTTTATGGAGAATGTTCTACTGTTTTAACATCTTATCCAATGGTCACAGAAATATTCCATGGCTAGGGCAGATCATTCTACATCTAGGAGATTACTCCATTCTGCTGGTGCGGAGACCTTCATTCCTCATTATTTCATGACTAACCCAAAGGAAAAATCTATTAAGAAAAAACCCAGATATCCACTTCTACCACCGTACACAAAACACCTACATAGTTTTAGGCTTTTCAGCTCACTGCTCTTCTACCACTCGGTGCCGGTGTCTGTAGATAAGAGGCTTAGATATGATCCTTCCACAGAAGATGGAAACTTCAGCACATTTTTTAAAAAATATATTTTATTGATTTTTTTTTTTTTTTACTGAGAGAGAAACATCGAGCAACTGCCTCCTGCACACCCTCTACTGGGGATGTGCCCGCAACCAAGGTACATGCCCTTGACCGGAATCCAATGTGGGACCCCTCAGTCTTCAGGCCGACGCTCTACCCACTGAGCCAAACCGGTTAGGGCTCAGTACACTTTTTAAAGAACCCTTTTCCCGGGTTGCACAGCGAGACATGTATTTGAGAGAGTTTAAGTGCTTCCTCTTTTTAATTTTATTTATCTTATTTTATTTTTATTTATCCTTATTGTTGAAAGTGTTACAGATGTTTCCCTTGTTCCCCCTATTGACGCCCTCCATCCCACTCTTCCTTCCCCCAGGCCTTCACTGCACTATTGTCTATATTTATGGGCTTTGCATATATGCATATAAGTTATTCTCTCTATTGCTTTCTCTTTCCAATTGTCCAAAAGGATGCAGGCCTCAGCTGAGAAAGGAATATACATTTTTTTTATCTTTCTCTTTCCAATTGTCCAAAAGGATGCAGGCCTCACGTATCGGGCCTCAGCTGAGAAAGAATATACATTTTTTTACTTCCATATTTAAAGCAACTTAATGAATGACCTAAAAATATTGGCTGAAACACAGACTCCTACATGTTGATGGAATGTTTTTGAACAATTTTAAACTATGAATAGAATGTAATGGTTTCTGGTTGACATTCAGAGACGACCTAGCTTCTGAGAGTCATAATCCTGGTTTTAGCGATTTAGTTTGTACGTAACTCACTAACAGGATTTCTCAATAGTGGCACTACTAACAGTTTGGACTGGATAATTCTTTGCTGTGAGAAGCTGTCCTGTGCACTGTAGGAAAATTTATCCTTGGTTGAAAAACTAATCTACTCTTTATATTACACCCTCCAATCCAAGACAGAAAGAAAACAGGCTTTATTCCTAGGGAGAAGATAAATTCAAAATATGGAGAACATTCTCATGTAATAGTTTTAATAACTTGCATACCCCATGTAATGTGTTGTGAGCATGTAAAGAAACACTGTGCCATTTAGAAAGGACTGAACATTTGCCTATAGAAACACTGTGATACAAGGTGGTCAGGATGCCAGGTCAACACCAATAACAACAAAAACCCTATTTGACCCTCAGAGTAGCTGAAGAAGAGCATTCTCAATAGCACTATCAAATGTAACGACCACATTCACAGTATTTCTTGAGAGAGAGCAATTCAAAAACCCTATTTGACCCTCAGAGTAGCTGAAGGATAGCATTCTCAATAGCACGATCAAATGTAACGACCACATTCACGATATTTCTTGAGAGAGCATTGGCTTGGAATTCTTGCTTGTGATGCCAAGAACAAAGTTCCTCTTTTAGACAGAATGCAAGCCTTCCCATAGGCCTTCTGTCTTCCTCGTGTTCCCTATTCCTTCCAGGCCTGGGCATCTAGATCAGGAATTCCTACAACCCCAAGCAACTGGCACAGGATTTGCAGTTCAAGGTATAGGGAGAAAGGAGATGCTTTTATTTTGTAAAACCCTTTAAATTTAAGCATAACATATATACAGCTCAGTGAATGATCACAGATTGCATACACTTATGTAACCCTATTGAAGTCAAGGAATAGAATAGCAGCAGCAACCCAAAAGTTCGCCCATGCCTCTTCTCAATCACTGCTCCCAACCTCTCCTCCTCACTTCTAACACTACTCATTAGTTTGGCCTGGTTTTGAATTTGATAGGCCTTAGACACTATAGGCTCTGAACCAGACCCACTTTACAAGGCATTATGCCTACAGTGGGTAGCTTGTTGGGTTACTGAGATGTGGAGAGAAAGGAACACTGCTTTTTCACTTTGACGTAATCTTATGCCAGAAAGGCTGTTCATTCTTGGTACTAACTTGTCAGATACATGCCCAGAGACTTAGTAGCATAAAATAAATAGCACTTATAAATTAAAACTTGCTTTTAATTAATGAGTCAGGCCATAATTTATGAGCAGTTATTTACTCAGTAAAGTGTACATGTGACCAGAACTGTAACACTAATAAAATCCATCCTAACATTTTCTGTATAACCTGTGGAGAGAATGTAAACAGGGTGAAATGATTGCATCGGAAAAGCAGCAGAGCACAGTGGGTTAAAAGCAATAGCCCGGCAGCTAGATTTGGGGCTGAATCTTGGCTCTGACACTTAGTAGCCATGTGTTTTTAGTAAAATTATTTAATTTCTCCAAGTTTCCGTTTCCTCATCAGTAAAATGGGGTTAATAGTTTCCCCCTTACATGATTATAAAAATAAATGAGTTTATATATTATAAAATGTTCATTAGAACACACAGAATATATGTTTGCTATTATCATGAATCATCTTAGAAAAGAAGCAAGAAGCCTGGCACACATGTTCATAGGCAAACACTTACCACGCAGCTAAAATTGGGGATTGTTGCATATTTGTAAGAATAGGGATACAGCAACATCTGAGCATATGCATGAAAGGAGAGGTAAGCCCTAATGTGCTTCTTGTGTTTTCGAAGAAAGTTAGCGACAGCTTTCACTTCAGGCTCAGATTCCGGGAAAGGTCCGCAGTATGTGTCATCACAAGGGTGCATGGAAGCTCCTTCATCTGTCAGTTAGAAAAGAAAATGGGGTAGGGCAGTGGGCAGGGAAGAAGCAAGAAACACAAGTCAGCATTATTAAGTTGTGATTTTTCTTTTATTTCTATACACATAGGGTATTGTTAAGCAATCCATCTAACTTCTCATTTACAGAAATCGATTACTGAAACATCCACTGTGGCTCAAGCCTTCAGGCATAATAGGAGGGTGGCCCAAATAGGAAATAGGTGCTGGTTGTTTAAGTGAGCCTGGAAAAAGAACTACTACGTTAAAGATAGCTCTATCAGTTGGAGAACTAATTCTATATGATCCCCCAGGGAAGGGAAGGCCTCCTATGTATATTCATCACACCTGTACTTTCCCTCCATATGTTCAACACACTTGTAATTAGTGTCAAATATTTACCTGTTGATCATTCAACCAATATTTACACTGTTCTAGGTACCCAAGATACACTGGAACACAACACAACACACACACACAAATCCTTGCTCTAACAGAACCTACATTTTATCTGGAGTCTTTGTTAGACTGTAATGCTCTGAAGGCAGGGGCTGTGTCCTTGCTGGGCACCTGGCAATTAGAACAATAGTATAGCAAGTGTTCAACAAACATTTGCCAAATAAGTGAATGTCAAAAAGAAAAGGCTAGGTATCTATACAGGTGTCTTTTTTTTAAAAAAATATTTTATTGATTTTTTACAGAGAGGAAGGGACAGGGATAGAGAGTTAGAAACATCAATGAGAGAGAAACATCGATCAGCTGCCTCCTGCACGCCCCACACTGGGGATGTGCCCGCAACCAAGGCACATGCCCTTGACCGGAATCGAACCTGGGACCCCTCAGTCCACAGGCCGACGCTCTATCCACTGAGCCAAACCGGTGCTGGCAATATACAGGTGTCTTGTGCGATACAAATATTGATGTATCAAAAACATGGAAGCAAGACAAATATTTCCATAGAACATGCCAAACCAATTTCTATTATATTTTTATATCAGCAATATCCAAACAGATCTTGGAAAGCCCATCTTGGGGGTTTGACAATGTTCAGTTAAAAAACCTTCAAAACTAAATATTGAAAAAACAAAAACTAAATTTTGATAATTTTTGAAATGAAAAATCATGTTATACGGGTCTATGAAGAGGAGGAGGGAAAGTAAGATTCACTGCAACAATCACAAAGTATTAAGGATCCAAGAAATTTTGGAAATAAATTACATTTCCCATAGTTATTTGCCATTCTGAGCCATTATTATCCCTCTAATACCCCTAGAAAACTACAACTCTTCTCATAAACAAATGGAAAATGTTTGGTGGTCCGGTGACATAGTCTAACTCTACTGAACACAAAAGGACAACCACATTAAATCAGACTAAATTTTGAGGGCAGTCGGTCTAGTTTATTCTACCTAGGAGAGTCAAGATGGGGAACTGAAAGCAATTGTGGTTTTCCTCTGTTGAGTCTAATTCTGGAGATGCCTCAGAAGCAAGTGGGTTATGGATGGAACTGGGAACTATAGCTGATACTCCAAAAAGAATAGGAAAAATAGGCACCTGGCGAACACTGATGTAAAACACTGGAAGGAGAGATCACAACTGAACAACTAATTCCAGACGGAGCTGAACTAATGAGCTAGAGCAGTGGTCGGCAAACCGCGGCTCGCGAGCCACATGCGGCTCTTTGGCCCCTTGAGTGTGGCTCTTCCACAAAATACCGACTTCTGCGCATGGGCCACAAAGTTTCAATCG